AGAGAGATAGACGGTTATGCCCTGCCGTTAGGTCCACACTTGATCTATCCTTGTAGAAGGGCAAGCTATCTTTTGGCACGCCTTGTTGACCGTTTTGTAGTCGACGCAGACACGCCATTTACCATTCTTTTTTGGCACTACGACGGTGTGGAGATCCATCTTGGGTAGTTGCACTTCCTTTATCGCTCCCTGCTTCCAAGCAGGTTTGCCTACCTCTTTCTGCCACTATTCGGCAGTGGGGAGTGCCGATCATGCGTGTGCGTTGAATGACTGGTCTGGCGGATGGGTGGACATTGGTTTTGGTGACTGATGAAGTTTGGATCAAATGCCTGGCATGTCGTAAGTGTCCAGGCAAACACTTCGATATTGGAGGTCCAAGAATTCCATGACCTCTACTCTAGCGCTAGAACAACGATGATACCAAGCAAAAAGAATTATCCGGGTTCTTCTCCATCTATTTTTAACCTCCACCAAGTCCTTTCCACTGCTTTTTTGATCAGCTCTTTGCCGACGTCACGCGAATAGTTCATTTACTTTCTGGCTCTTCCACCGATGAACGTATCCTTTGGCAGCTCGGCTTCCATTCGCTGTGGCGAAGCACTGTTTTGACATGTCTGATCGCCATAGGGACTTCTTCATTATACGGCGTCATTGGCGAACCGCATACCTATAATTATGAGACGCTAACCCCGAACGCCATGGCATCAGCCATGTTCTGCCAGGATTGATGTTTGTAGGTGGAGGGGACCTTAATACCCAGAACTCCCACCTGTTTTTTGATACACTTCCCCGCCTGACTGGAAGATTATTTGCCGACAGGCCACTCTGGCATATGGAGTTGAATCCATCAGGGGAGAAACTGCGGGTGCCAAGTCTTTATCTTGCAGCTTTAGTGTTTAAATGTGTCGTAAATACATACATGATCTCCACAATGAACTACCCTGGTCATCAGAATCGCGCTTGACGCAAAAATCCTTGACTCGGAGAGTGACAAACCGGGCATCAATTATGGGGGCAAGTAAAAATTCGTTCCAAGTCCTTATCACGAAAGGACATGACGTTTGTTGCCTCTGTCCCTCCCCTTCTTGATGGCCGGGTTGCACTTAATACTTCCTAAAGTGCTCAGCCTTCTTTGATCGAAACTCTAAGCTCGCATACGCGCTCAGGTTCAAAAACTCCATGAATTACAATTGATAATGCTTGTGGTGGTGCATAGTTTGGCATTCTGTTGGGTTGGTCATTATGATCTTGGGGGGGCCGGTTTGCGCTCCCCCTTCATGTATTTCCCAAGTGGCCCTGCCCCCTGCCACAATTCTTCTAAATGCCTGTCTTTAGTGGCGTTGCAATTCTCAGTTCGGATGCCCCTTTTCCTTTGTGGAAGGTGCACCGTGATCTGTCGTCTAATTCTTCTGAGCTTCCCTCAAGCTTGTGCTGGCCACCTTGAACCAAAAGGCTTGTCTTTTGATTTCGCTCAGAAATCCAGATATATTGGTTTTTTGAACACCGTTGGTTATGGCGTGCGGAATTCTCACCATCTTTTGTCTGGGTCTTCTTCCGTTATCTCGTCTGCCACGTCCGTATCCTTGTTACTTCGGTCAACCGTGTTGACCTTGGCAGGGGGTTTTCTTTTCCGGTGCTGCGGTCGTGCTTGATTCTTGCTTTAGCAACGCGCGCCATCCTCTCACCCTGATGTGCTGATGCACTCTTTCCATCATGGGGGCCTCCATGGGTGAGGGTGTGGGCGTCATGGTGATTCGATGTCCCTTAATCGGTTTCCTACTGGTAGGCCTCTTTTATATTGCGCAATGGCGTAGATTGGTGGGGCAGTCTCCAATGGTTGAATGTCTCCCAGTAAGCGACTGTTGTAGATGCTGAGGGTCTCTTTTTCACCCATGTCGATGGAGAGTAACTGGGTCTATCTCCACCGGTGTCTTAGTATTTGTCCGAAACCTTGTACGAACGCTTCTGCTCAATTGGCCCAGGAGGCTATGCTACCCTCTGGGAGCTTTTCGAAACCAAGTCCAAGCCCAGGTCGCCCAGACTTGATGGGAAAAGTATGCACATTAAGGCCTCGTTTCGCCTGTACAACGGCCATGACTTGGCGAAAGTGGCTCAAGTGTGAATACGCGTCAGTCCGTCTTTCCCTTCATATGTATTTGAACCTTTTTCGGCTGAAGAAAGCCTGATGGTAGGGGTGCGTTTTCGATCGCTGGCGACAAACGGCGAGGTTCTGTAGTCTTGCCAATGCCTTGTCCGTTGGTTCGTAGGCCGGTCGCGGTTATTGGCATTTCCAACTCGACGCTTCCGTCTCCGAGGCCAACCGTTGTTAAGGCCAACTCGGTTAGTGGATCCCTTGCCCTTGGGCATCTCCTTGGCATCGTGCTTTTTCTTCTAGCACGGTTCGTAAGTCGGATGACCTGGGTAGCTCGTTTTGTCCTGGATCTGGTTTGGTGCGAATGTGAGGCCAATTACGTGCTTCCTTCGTGTATAGATCTTTCGGCATTCTCGTCCTCTCAGACCTGGAGTGACGAGTCCTTGAAGATAGGAGTGAGTGTCGCCTGTCCTGAGGCTTCTGCTCTCTCCTTGAAGGGTTGTAGTATCCTAACTTACGACTTTCTGAGTGGCGACGGGGGCGTTCTTTGTGCTAATGCGCCCCCTCTCTGTCGCCACATCTTTTGGTCTCATTCTGGGTGTTTCAAGGCCTCCATGTCCGCCGACCATCCTCCGAATTAGTTCATCCTGTTTCCTTTAACGCGATCTTCCAGGGGTTTGAGGATCAATCCTCCCTCTTTGCCTGTCGGGACCTTTGAGAGTGACGAGGGCTGCCAATTCCGCCTTCCCCTGCGCGTCCTCCTGGAATTTATGTTGTTGGGCTCAAGTCCGCCAGCATGGGGGGCGCAGGATACATCCCTCACGCCTTGCGCCCCCTTCTGGAGTTTAGGTCCGCACGGGGAGCTGCGGCAGAGTCTTCAATGGTGTCCATTGGACTGCAGAAAGGAGAAGTCTTAGTCAAGAGGTTTTTGTTCTTGTCTTGTTATTCCTACAGACGGCGCCAATTGTACGGGGAAGGAAATAATTCTCCTCGTATAATCCTGTTTGACCAAGTCCACGCTTCCTCCGTACGACGTTCCGTCTTTGCCGTCCTGAAAACACAAGCGTGGCTAGCCGCGGCGGGTGGTTGCCGCGGAAACCGCTCCGATGCCTAAAGTCAGAAACTTGACAAAATAGACCAAGCTCTAAGTTCCTCAGAAAGATGTGAATGTTCAATTACCCCTCCTCCAAGGTGATGGCTTGTGAGCTTTATAAGTTTCCCGTGGCACAATCCTAGTAGGACTTTGTACTTCTCCATCGCAGAGGTCTTCCTAGGATTCATTTCTCCTAAGGATAATGCTTATCCTTTTCACAACCCTCCCCCACTGCTTTAAACCAAGTGGATTGGTTCTCTTTTATGCCGAACTTCTATTGACGAGTAAAAATAGGCTATGCCGAGCCACCAAGTAGCCCGACTAACAGTTGTTCGGTTCTTCTTCATGCTATCAATACTCGGTTTCCTAATACCTGAACCGTGTATGTCGGACCGAACCACTGACTCGACCGGCAAACTCTCAACGGTATGCCTCTAAGGCCGCTCTAATCCAAGTTGCTTCCCCAAACCGAAGTTACTTTACCATCCTTCTAGCCGAAGTAACTCTATTACTTCGTAAAGCCGAAGTAATTCCACCTCCTTTGGGCCGAGTAACTCTGTCTCTCCTGACCGGAATTAACCATTACGGCCTTTTTTACTTAGTCCTTTCGCCTTTTCTGGGCCTTAAGCCAACTCGCAGCTCGGCCCAGTTTTTTCCAAAAATTACGCCTCTCAACTTAATAGAACAAAGTAATTAAATTTTTGTAAAAAATATTTGAATTTTTCAATTTATAAAATAATTTTAATAAAAAAAACTTATTGACCGAATTATTTTAGAAGTAATAATTATCATTTTAATTTATGGAATTTCAAATGGAAAGATAACAAAAAATATTTCATAATCTTTCCATCCTAATCTTTCTCACGATTTCCACAACAAAAAATATTTTAAAACTTTGCCTGTCTTCTCTCTTCCCCAAAATCAGATATTATTTTCATTAAAAGTTGTAAATTCTATCTATATCTTAATATATTAATTATAACTTAATAAAAAAAAAAACTCAAAAATCAGAATATACACAATAAAATTAAATAAATTTGATATTTATTTAATTCAGTTAAAATATTGCTTTTGGTTTCTCAATACACATTTAAATTTAAAAAAGTTTTAAAGTTTATCTAAAAAATCTAATTTTATAAAATATCTCCCACCATCATCTTTAAATCAATTAAACCCTCATGTCTTATCACATATCTAACTCACATCATTAACTTACCTAATATAATTCATTTTCGCTGTATCGACAAAAAAAAAACTACCTAAATAATAATATTAAAAACAAATTGAAACCATAGCAATAAAATTACAATTGGGGGAAAAAATAAATAGAAACTCACACTCATCTTAGATGAATTTATTAAAAAAAAAAACCACACACAAAAATAATATAAAAAAAAAAGAAGATAAGAAGTTAGATATTATTCAAAAAAATATATGACAATATCCTAATTTGAATTATATTTACTTAATATAATATCTATTTTTCTTATGTATACTATCAAAATTTTTAAATCACTTAATGGGAAACAATTAATCAATTCTCTTATAAGTCTTTTTTAAAGAATAATCTTGATTAGTCATCCCAAACTCTAGACTTGCGGGCACTGGCGGATGAGCTAACAGATTTGGGTTAGGTGAGGTCGAAGTTGTTTGGAGTAACATTTTCTCATTCCATAAATTTATTTGTTTTTATATTATTTTATTTTTCATGTATGATCTCTTTCTCTGCTGTTGGTTTGGTTCGGTTTTAGTGAAGGTTTTATGTTGTTTGTTTACAGATTTGCAATGGTGGAGAAGAAAATTATTGGTAATTAAGTTGCAATCAAGTATCTATGTCAATCGGTGCTAAGGATTTTGATCGGATTTTGTTTTCTTTTCAAATGAAGAACCATAAAATTGAAGTAAAAAAATGGGTAATCAATTTTTTTTTTGTTTTTTATTGTCATTTTATTTTAATAGAAAATGTGAAAAATTTAATTGAGAATTGAAGTTTTAATATAACATTAGGTAAATTTTAAAACTTTTTTAAATATTATTTTGTTATTTATTTTTTATCCTTGATGATTCACCGGGTCCTGTAACGCCCTCAAAAAATAACATTAAACCCATCATTAGACATGTCATTGATATATAAAAGCCTCCACATTCTTCAGTTTCAAGCAGAGTTCCATTACCAAAATATACATGTTAACGAACAAAAGCAAATGTCAAAAGGCTTACAGCTTTCCAAGCTTAACACTTGTTACAACAAAAGAGGCTAACTCATTTACACTTAAGCCCTTAAGGCCTTGAATATACATGTAAATACATATCAAAGAAGAAACGCTAAAACAACAAAAAGTCTGACCCGCCCTCTAGCCTCCCAAAGCTACTCCATTGAGGGTGGGCATGTTACCTGTACCTGAAATATGATATTCCCATATAGGGTGGCCACAGCCCAGTGAAATACACTAAACCAAATATGAACAAATGACTAAAGATTTAGCAGTTGATAGATGGCCAACACTGATACTTTCCCTTACACACTTTACGGTTTCATGACATACAAGTCCATTGTTACAAATCCATTTCCCAATTCTATTCAAATTCTCAATTAAACCATGGCTCAGAGAACCTGGCCAGAACAACTTATTATGCAGACAGTAACTCATTATTAAAACTGTTCTTCCCCAATTCTATTAAATAAGCGTACTAGCTTATATCACACAATCAACAGATAAGCATACAAGCTATAATCATCACTTCCATAGAATATGCATAAGGCACTATCACTTCAATGGTATTTTGTTTTGAAATGAAAGTTCCATAATCAGCCACATTATTATGTATGTAAATTATGTATGAGTTTTTTTGTTTGTATAGTATTACTTAGTTAAAAAATGAGCTCATTTGGCAACATAGTTAATAAGCTGTTTATTGGCTTGTTGACTTGGGCCTCATTTGAGAATATACTATTTTAGTAATTTTTTGGCTGGCTAAAATATGAGGTAAAAAAACTAGTATCTTTGAAATGACTTTTTGATTTTTTATGAAAAGATGTGCAAAAAGTAGAGTGAAAATGGAATCTATGGCTTTTTGGTATAGGTTATAGGCTTTTTGGTTTTTTAGTAACTTTTTGGCTTTTAGACTAAAATAAGCACATGCCAAACGAGGCTTTATTCGAATCATGTCATTCTCTACTTTTCTGCATGACTTGTTGTAATAAGAAAAAAAAAGCTAGCTTATAAGCCATACTCAAAACAACAAAACTTTGATAAATAGAGTAGAGAAGGTTTTTTGTTTTTTTGAAAACTCATTATCTAGCCATTGGATAGAGTAATCCGAGAGACCAATCACACCATCCACTTGTGGGGGTCTCAATTAAAGCCAGGGTTTTGTCATGTATGGATTGGCTCAAAGAAATTGTTTATACCTAGGAGGTTTCGAACCTGAGACTTTAGAAGGAGCACACTCACAGGCCCCAACCCTTGACCACTAGGCCAACCCCTAAGGTTAAATATAGTAGAGTGTTATGGTGGTTGCAGATTTAAATAATTCAATCGTCATGTAGATGTGAATAGATAGAAAGATAAATAATTCTAGAAATAGTTGGTTTTGGCTATAATTAGTAGCAAAAATTGAAGATGCTTCAAATACACCTACTATAGTGTTGGAATTAAAATTGAAGCACTTTATCAAGAAGTTTAAAGAATAGAAAACATGTTCATGGGTAACTTGTCCTAGCCAAGCCTTCTAAGGACAAGTTGAGAAGTACACTCCTATGTGATATCATGGACTCACACATTTTTCCATTAAAGGAAAAGATTTCTAAAAGAGAAAGAACCGAAAGCAAACAAATCATATAAAAATGTTCATCACATCAATCTCATCTATCGTGGGTATAACTCGGTAATTGAAGCTTCGTTGACTGACACAAGAGACAATGGTAACTCTGGATCGATGCTACTACGCACAAAAAATGCCGGTTCTGACGATAGTGAAAGGGTGAGAAAGAAGCTATTAAGCATGAGAACAACTGCAGCCATGGTTGGTCTGGTAGCTGCGTTTTCCTGTACACATAGTAGCCCAATATGAATGCATCTTATCATTTCATGCAACGGACCCGAACCATTCCTTAATGTGGGATCAATTATATTCGAAGCTATTCCTTTCTGCCAACTTTTCCAAGCCTGCAAGAATTCAATGTATGGAATAAGCTTTCATGGCCTATAAAATTTCTTGGTATTGGTAAGTTATCATGGATATTGATACTTACATAACATAAAAGGTCCTCTTCATTCTCTCCACTACGAAAACAATTGTTCTTCTGACCACTCACAATTTCCAAAATCGAGACACCAAAACTAAGGGTGTCTTGCCCTCCACTGGAGTTAGTCTCTTTGCTTTTTAGTGATGTAAACAGTGCTTTTGTTGGACAATCAAATTACTTTTACCGTTCAAAAAAAAAGAAAAAGAAATTATGTTTTTGCCAATTTGAATACTCAATGATGCATATATCATCCGCACAGTCTCACAATAAAATCATAAAACATGAACACATTGATTTACATGAAACCTTTTGAGAACAACAATCCTCTCATGTAAAAAAGCACTGACACCACTCTAGCTATTAGATATTGGATTGTATGGGGTGAGCTATATATTAGCCATATATATTTTTTTAGTGATTTTTTTTTATTTTAAAATTATGTTTAAACTTTTTACTTTTCTAGTTCATCTTGTGTAGACGAATCTAAAAAGTAATTTTTTTTAAAAAAAAAATTTATAAAAAAAAAGCCAAAAAAATGTCCAATATTTTATATTTATTTGTCTTTCACGACCCTTTTTTGAATTTTTTTTATTTAATATTTAAATTTTTTGGTTCATCTAGTCAAGCTGAATCTAGAAGCCCAAAACCTTTTAAAAGCAAGTTCACTAAAGATGAAAGTAATAAGTCAAAAAGAAAAATTCTAAACATATATAAAATTCATATAAAAAACTTGACAAGAATGATATGACATTGCTATTATTGTAAATAAATTCAACTTCAATGGTATTTTGTTTTGAAATGAAAGTTCCATAATCAGCCACATTATTATGTATGTAAATTATGTATGAGTTTTTTTGTTTGTATAGTATTACTTAGTTAAAAAATGAGCTCATTTGGCAACATAATTAATAAGCTGCTTGTTGGCTTGTTGACTTGGGCCTCATTTGAGAATATATTATTTTAGTAACTTTTTGACTTTTTGGCTAAAATATGAGGTAAAAAAACTAGTATCTTTGAAATGACTTTTTGATTTTTTATGAAAAGATGTGCAAAAAGTAGAGTGAAATAGAATCTATGACTTTTTGGTATAGGTTACAGGCCTTTTGATTTTTTAGGAACTTTTTGACTTTTAGACTAAAATAAGCACATGCCAAACGAGGCTTTATTCGAATCATGTCATTCTCTACTTTTCTGCATGACTTGTTGTAATAAGAAAAAAAAAGCTAGCTTATAAGCCATACTCAAAACAACAAAACTTTGATAAATAGAGTAGAGAAGTTTTTTGTTTTTTTGTTTTTTGTTTTTTTGAAAACTCATTATCTAGCCATTGGATAGAGTAATCCGAGAGACCAATCACACCATCCACTTGTGGGGGTCTCAATTAAAGCCAGGGTTTTGTCATGTATGGATTGGCTCAAAGAAATTGTTTATACCTAGGAGGTTTCGAACCTGAGACTTTAGAAGGAGCACACTCACAGGCCCCAACCCTTGACCACTAGGCCAACCCCTAAGGTTAAATATAGTAGAGTATTATGGCTGTTGCAGATTTGAATAATTCAATCGTCATGTAGATGTGAATAGATAGAAAGATAAATAATTCTAGAAATAGTTGGTTTAGACTATAATTAGTACCAAAAATTGAAGATGTTTCAAATACACCTACTATAGTGTTGGAATTAAAATTGAAGCACTTTATCAAGAAGTTTAAAGAATAGAAAACATGTTCATGGGTAACTTGTCCTAGCCAAGCCTTCTAAGGACAAGTTGAGAAGTACACTCCTATGTGATATCATGGACTCACACATTTTTCCATTAAAGGAAAAGATTTCTAAAAGAGAAAGAACCGAAAGCAAACAAATCATATAAAAATGTTCATCACATCAATCTCATCTATCGTGGGTATAACTCGGTAATTGAAGCTTCGTTGACTGACACAAGAGACAATGGTAACTCTGGATCGATGCTACTACGCACAAAAAATGCCGGTTCTGACGATAGTGAAAGGGTGAGAAAGAAGCTATTAAGCATGAGAACAACTGCAGCCATGGTTGGTCTGGTAGCTGCGTTTTCCTGTACACATAGTAGCCCAATATGAATGCATCTTATCATTTCATGCAACGGACCCGAACCATTCCTTAATGTGGGATCAATTATATTTGAAGATATTCCTTTCTGCCAACTTTTCCAAGCCTGCAAGAATTCAATATGTGGAATAAGCTTTCATGGCCTAACAAATTTCATGTTACTGGTAAGCTATCATGGATACTCCTACTTACATAACATAAAAGGTCCTCTATATTCTCTCCATTGTGAAAACAATTGTTCCTCTGACCACTCACAATTTCCAAAATTAAGACACCAAAACTAAACACATCAGACTTTGTCGAAAATTGTCCACGCATTGCATATTCTGGAGACATATAACCACTACAATGCAAAACCATTGTTTTAACAATAACAATAACAATAATAACAATAATAATAATAATAATAATAAATTGCATGTAACTTCTTTTTTCCCTCTCTGTGAAAAAAATCAAACATGAAACCGTTGCGAGTAGTAAGCAACCATAATTTAACTGGGAAAAAATGCATGCTTTACATGAGATTACATAAAAGATAGTATTCATTATTCCAAATTAGAGAAGAACAATACATTGCATGTGGGGATACAAAACTTACTATGTTCCAACGACTCGACTTGTATTTCCTTGAGTTTGATCGACATCAAAAATCCTAGCCATGCCAAAATCTGAAATTTTTGCGTTCATATCCCTATCTAACAAAACATTGCTAGCTTTGAGATCACGATGAATAATTCGAAGTCGTGAATCTTCATGAAGATAAAGAAGTCCTCGAGCAATGCCACCTATGATCTTGTAACGCCTATCCCAATCCAAATATGCACGGTTGATGGCATCTACAAATCCATACGGTTGAATCAAAACCCAATTGAATGATCTTTTAAATGTGATCTTCAATAATTTTAATTTGTAACGAACCCTGTAGTTTGGGACTTATTTTGGTTATTGGCCTTTCAATTGTGATACATTTGACCTTAAATTTTGAATTTTATTCCAAATAAGGACAATTACATGACAACTATCACAAAGCATCAACAAAAATAACCACTCATTATATGATCATCGTCCAAACATATACTAAAAATTAATTTGGTAAAAAAAATTAAAATATAAAAGATTTATCATTTTTATATAATTTTATTTATGGTGGGTAGAAATAATTTTTAAAATTCAACAATATTTTTTTGACATTTGCTTTTGTCAAACTAGTTTATATTTTATCAAAATGACGATTTTACCCTTGAAATTGAGTATTTTCATTTGCAAAGGAAATGATATCTTTATTTGTCCTTATTTAGAACAAGATTCAAAATTCAAGATTCAATGTATCACAATTGAAAGGTCATGGACCACAATAAGCCCCAAACTACAGAGCCTCTTAGTGTAATTCATCCTTACAGTTTTGGTCTTTATCATATGATTAAATTGTTATGTAGATCAAGATATATATTGTTTATAGCGTTCTATGTTTGATACAAAGCTATGAAGTGTGCATATTTCAAATATTTGTTTAGATGAAGTTGAGAGAAAGACAATCTATAAACAAGCAGCATAGTAGTTTTACCAAATATGAAGTGATCGAGGCTCGAATTCGTCACATATTCATAGATGAGAAGCCTTTCAGTTCCTTCCAAACAAAATCCCAAGAGCCTAACCAAATTCCTATGTTGAAGCTTGGCCACCAACATAACCTCGTTCTTAAATTCTAATTCTCCTTGTCCAGAATCCCTAGAGAGTCTCTTCACTGCTATTTCTTGTCCATTTGGAAGCCTACCCTGAAGATATAATACAGTTTATGTTGTACAAAGGATACCACTTCAGCAAATAGAAAAATTCAGCATTTTGTTTTAGTAATTTTTTCATTTTAGCACAAGGGATACATCATATTCGAATGTAATTGTTTGATTGATTACCCTGTAAACAGCACCAAATCCACCTTGTCCAAGCTTATTAGCATCAGAGAAGTTATCTGTTGCAACGCTAATGGTATCAAAGTTGTATTGCAAGGATTCCACAATGCTAATTTCTTCCGCAGCTTCACAAAATGAACAAGTGAACAATTATGTCAATAAAAGTTACAAATGAAAATATAGATCTTTTCGTAATGTTGTTGACTTTCTTCATATCATAAAATTAACCAACATAAATCGCATACCGAAATATCATCCAAAAATTATCCACGAATTGTTTTCAATGATGATAGAATAAACAAATTAAGGAAGGATGTTTTAATTTTCCTTCCAATATTTACTTTTAAGAAACAGACTGAAGAATAGCATTTTGTAAATATTTTTTTTGCTTCAATGGAAGCGACTTGTTAGCAATTAAACTACACTTTCCACTAGTTCTGCATTATTTTGAAAAGAGATAATTATCAATGGAGTTCAAATCATGTAAAGATAATCTACTTGCATTTTTTATCAGTTAGTGGTTAACTACAAAATTAGAGATTAAATCCACATAGAGGTTTAAATAAACCATATTAAACTTACTTTCAACTTTCTGCCTTGACTTCCTTTGCTTCCTCTTTCTTAAAAAGATGCAAATGCATACCATGAATATCATCATAGAAGTAATAGATGAAACAACGACAATGATGATTGTTAGAGTTGTATTGTCATTCTTTCCTGCAAAAATTAAAAGTTTCTGGTTAAATCATGATAAATTTTGGATTTAAAAATGTTCCATATGGTTGTGAGTAAATACAAACATATAGTAATAAAGATCCATAAATTGAAAAACAAAATGATTGCCACTTAACAAGCGTTATCTAATCTAATTTGTGACATTAGAAATTTATGCTTGTTTCATCACTAATTTTCTGTTGAGAGTCTGGAAACTCTCGTTTTCTAGAATCTTGCACCATCTATTTGTTCTACACTCTCTATATTTATTTCTTTGACATATTTGTCCCTTTTTCAGATATTGCCCTCTTCATAATATCTTTTTGGGCAATGCTAGAGACCACTAAAAGTGGTGCTCTAAAGCAACCATTAATGATGTGGCACCGAATTTTTCAAAAACAAAAAAATAGACACAACAACATTGCCACATCATTAGTGGTGGCACTAATTAGTGCTCCCACTCATTTTCCTATCTTTTTATGTATCATTTTACACATTTTTGTAATAATAGAAAGAAATCGTGAGTAAGAGAGAGCGGATTGTCACTTGGGTCCACCCAAAAACTCAAGATCTTATATGTGTATCTGAAGCATTTTTTTTTTTTTTTTTATTGGCAAAGAAAATTTATGAGTAATGGTAGATATCATGAAAAAAATATGATGAAAATGATCATGAAAAATTTTCTACTGTTAGATTACACATATATTAATACACCACACACTAATCAAATGATAAAAAAATCTTTATAAAATATTTTATGATATTTTTTTTTCATGATCTCTACTATTATTCAAAATTTACTAACTTGAGAATAAATTACATTGAGATAATAAGAAAAGAAACTACATTGATGTGTAAGTATGGTAAGAAGTATATCCTAAACCTTAAGCTACCAATACATATTAGTCCTTTTTAAAGAGAAATGGAGTTCTTGATATTATTCACTTCCACACAAAATACAGAGATGGTCTATGTATATATAACAAGAGATAATGACCACAACTACCTAACCAACAATTAACTACTTGTGGTTAAGGCCTAACAAACTAACTACCTTCCTAACAAACTAACTACCTCAAGAATACTCTAGAATGTACTGATAAGCTGAAGCCTTTTGTGCTGAAACAGTAGCTTGTTTGGCTGCTTGAGTGGCTTGAGTGGCTGGGTTCTCAGATTGCTTATCAGCCCCCCTCAAGCTCAGGGGACTAGGAAGGACATTGAGCTGGTGCTGAAGATATTGAAAACGAGTAACAGAAAGTGGTTTAGTAAAGACATCAGCAACTTGATCAGAAGTGGGAATATGACAAATATGAAGCTTCTTGGAGGCAATGCGTTCGCGAACAAAGTGATAATCGACCTCAATGTGTTTAGTACGAGCGTGAAACACTGGATTGTGACTCATAGCTATGGCAGATAAGTTGTCACACCATAGGGTAGGCACAGGAACAGAAATATGAAGTTCAGCAAGCAACATCCCAATCCAACTAAGTTCAGCGGAAGTTTGTGCTAAAGCCCTATATTCAGCTTCAGATGAAGATCTAGCCACAGTTGGTTGTTTCTTGGAAGACCAAGAGATAAGATTAGGACCAAGATAGACACAGAAACCAGTGGTGGACCTTCGATCAAGAACATTACCTGCCCAATCGGAGTCTGAATAAGCATTGAGAAGAAGAGGGCCAGCAGTGAAATGAAGCCCATAAGAGATGGTGCCTTTAAGATACCTGAGTGACCTTTTGACTGAGAGAAAATGACTAGTCATAGGAGAGTGCATGAACTGATAAAGATGATTAACCACAAAAGCTAAATCAGGTCTGGTAAGGGTAAGATATTGAAGAGCTCCGACCAAACTTCTATACAAAGCTGGCTGAGAAAAGAGAGTATCATTTGCTGCAGTAAGAGAACTAGAAGTGGACTTAGTAGCCATGGGAGAAGAGTAAGACTTGCAGTTACTCGTACCAGCCTTGGCTAACAACTCTGAGGCATATTTTTGCTGAGAAAGAACATAACCAGAAGCAGTTTTGGTGACAGAAATACCCAAGAAATAATTGACAAGGCCAAGCTCCTTCATGGAAAAGGTTGTATGCATATGTGTAATGAGAGAGTTAATATAGAGAGGATCACTTCCTGTGAGAAGAATGTCATCTACATAGATGAGAAGAATGGTAATAGCAGTAGAAGTTTTCTTAATAAAAAGAGAAGAATCACACTGACTTTGAACAAATTTATGAGTGAGAAGAAAGTTGGAGAAGGTAGAGAACCAAGCTCGAGGAGCTTGCTTTAAACCATAGAGAGCCTTGTGTAACTTGCAAACAAGCTGAGATTTATTAGGGTGAACAAAACCTTGAGGTTGGACCATATACACTTCTTCGTCAAGAACACCATGGAGGAATGCATTAGATATGTCAAGTTGCTTAATGGACCACTCAAAATGTAGTGCAAGACATAACAGAATTCTGATAGTTGGTTGCTTAGCCACAGGGCTAAAAGTCTCATGATAGTCCACCCCTTCAGTTTGAAGAAAACCCTTGGCAACTAACCTTGCCTTATATCGAGCTATAGAACCATCTGAATTTTTCTTGATTCGATAAACCCATTTGCAGCCAATTGCTTGTTTTCCAGGTGGGAGATCAACTAAAGACCAAGTGCCTTGTGTTTGTAAAGCTTGAAATTCTTCAAGCATAGCAGTTTGCCAAACAGAGGAACAGGCTGCCTGTTGATAAGTTTGTGGTTCAGACTGAAGAGAGGAAGAAGAAGGACAAGCAATGAAAGAAGAGTGAGGAAAAGTTGATTTGGATCTGGTAATCATGGGATGAGTATTGGAATTGAGACAAGGGAGATCAATAGAAATATTGGAAATAGGAATCTGATCAGATGGAACTGTGGATAGAAGAGGAATAGAAGAAGAAGAGACTGTTTGAGCTTCTGAGTGAGGTTCAATAGCAGACGAAGAGACTGCCTGAGCTGAGGGCAGGTCAGTAGGAGGAACGAAAATAGGTGGCTGAGCTACTGACTGAGGGATAGCAGCTGGTGGTGAAACTGGAAAAGAATGTGGAGCTTGCTGTGACTGAGCTGGTGACGAAGGAATGGCAGCTGTAGGCTGAGGTGCTGCAGTTAGTGAAGCTGGAAAGGGATGTGTATGCTGAGGTGCTGTAGTAGAAACATGTGATGGAAAAGAAGAACTGGACTGGTCTGAGGGAGACCAAAAGAAATTCAGCAAATGTGATATGGAAGATGATGCAGAAACAGAAGGATGAGAAGACTGAAAAGGAAAACATAGTTCATCAAAGATCACATGTCGAGAGATATAGATCCTTCCTGTGGTAGGATCAAGGCACCTATAACCTTTAATAGAAGGTTGATAACCAAGAAATACACAAGGAATAGATTTGGTTTGAAGTTTATGAGATGTGTAAGGTTGAAGCCATGGATAGCATCTACATCCAAAGGATCTCAAGAAAGTGTAATCAGGTTTTTGTTTGAACAAAACTTCATACGGAGTGAGATTTTGAAGCTTGAGTGTGGGATGTCTGTTAATAAGAAAGACAGCAGTGGCAAGTGCATCAAACCAGTAAGCCAAAGGAAGAGAGGATTGATGCATAAGTGTCACAGTAGTCTCTATGAGATGCCTGTGTTTTCTTTCAGCAACACCATTTTGTGATGGTGTATGAGGACAAGTAAGTTGATGCTCAATTCCTTTTTGTTTGAGAAACAATTGAAATGGCTTACTCAAATATTCGCCCCCATTGTCACTCCTTAATACTTGAAGATGAGTATGAAACTGATTCTCAACAAAACTTTTAAATTCAAGAAATTTGTCAAACACCTCACTTTTGTAATGAAGAGGAAAAACCCAAGTAAATTTGCTAAAATCATCAATGAACAACACATAGTATTTAAAACGAGAATTAGAAACAGAAAATGGACCCCACACATCTGTGTGAATAAGGGCCAAAGGTTTATTGACAGTGGAATTAGACAAAGAAAAAGGCAACCGATGACTTTTACTAACACAACAATGTTCACACAGACTGGTGGTCTTGTTAGACAAAGTTGAAGACTTAGAACCTAAGTGATGATGAGCCATAATGTGATGAAGCTTCTTGGAAGATGGATGACCAAGTCTTGAATGCCAATCAGCTGAAGTAGTAGAACATGAAAGACAGACTGATGAAGGAACAAAGGAACCAGCAGAGGATGAAGAAATGAGTGGATAAAGGCCATTGGTGTAGCAACCTTTATACAGAATATTCTGAGTATTCTTGTCCTGAACAAGAAAGAAATCTTTATCAAAAGTAATAGTACAATGATTATCCTTGGTTAACTGATGTACTGAGAGTAAATTGGAAGAAAGAGTAGGCACATGCAACAGGTTGGTAAGATGAAAAGGAAAAGAAGGAGTAGGAAGGAGTCCTTTACCAGTACGAGCAATGGGAAGAGTAGAACCATCACCAATAGCCACTTGAGTCCCAAAATAATAGTCCATTTTGGGGAATCCAACTTTTTTGGTAGTACAATTATTGCACTTTAAAAATATTAATTTTTCAAAATTACCCTTTAA